GGACATTTGAGATAACTAACTGCTAATGCTGGAGCAAAACCACCCTCAAGTGGGAGAAACAGGCCAGACACAAGGACGTGGTTTCTGACGCTGGACAAGAAGGTAGGGGGAGCAGCAGGGCCCTGTTCTGTGGCTCCAGGAGACGAGGGCAGGAATGATCCTTCCAGGTCAGTTATCTGCAGAGAGCTGGCCCCCGCAGCCCCTCAGTGCAGGGGACTTTATGTGGATGAACAATTTTTTACTACATAACACACACATATAAGCAAAGGTTGGTAAATGTTCACAAAAACATGAAAAAATAAAAGACAATGAATGGATAGCCAGAAAAAGGAGAGGAAGTAGCGGTCAGTGTAATTATCCTACATGCAGGGAAAACAAGCCTGACCGAGCCAGGCCCTGCACTGATCCCCACTCCCAGGGAAGGGCTGCCATGGAAGAGGTCCCAGACTGACTGCAGGGACCAAGGACAAGCCCCACTGACCCAGGGAAGTCTCAAGGAGGCTGAGAGAAGGGTCCGGGGCCGGTTCCCAAGCACTCCTGCCTCTCCTTCTCTCCAGGAGAATGGCTGGGTGGGGGGAGCCTCTGTTGGAGTCTCTCTGCTGTCCCACTTGTCCTCTGGGCAGCCATCGAGGTTCTGAACCCCCGGTTGGGGTCTCTGATGAAGTTCCTTCTAGCCTGCTCTCTTCTCAAACTGAGGAAGCAACACAGAGGGCTTCCACTGCACAGACTGTTCTCAGTCTGCCCCTCTCTGGCCCTTCCAGCCAACCACAGGGGACCAAACTGCCTCCCCAGCATCAGAAGTGCCCCCACAGCCCACACACCAAGCTGGTCATGGTTACAAGGCAAGAAGGGTGAGATGGAAGATGCTTGGTCGGATTCAGCCTAGGTGGAGGGCTGGGAGAGGGGTGGGACAGAGCTAGCAGGGATAAGCTGTGAGGGACCTGGCTGCAGAGACACTGTGAGGAAAGAAACCGTGGAAGTGGAGAAACCCGACACTCAGCGGTAAGAGGTTGCCCCCGAACACCATCAATCCCAAACATGTCAGCTGTTCCTCTGCCCAGGAAGGAGGCAGTTGCAGGAAGATGACCAGACCTGGAAGTAGAGCCGCCCCGAGAAAAAGTGCAAAGAGAATTTCTCTTCCAGTACCCAGACCAGGGAGACTGTCTGCCCAACTCACTCACTAGTGCGGACTGAGCAACTTGTACCCACTGGGCTGGGAATGGGGACTTCAGGCAACACTGCATCCAGCAACAGTCATGAGCTCCCTTGAGAACCAAGACCCCCAAAACAACTCCAATTTCTAATCCACCAAGACCCACCCTAACTACCTTAAAGAATCTGCCTTTTCCATCTTGATTTTCCTAGCAAGACACAGGATCTGTCCATCTTTTTCTCTCTCATTTCCATGTTATCACTATGAGGATTAGGGGCTCCTAGGTTGGTTGAAGGATAGATGGGCAACTATATTTTCAAGTCACTTTAATCCAAAAGAAGTCCTGCCAATGCCCATGCTAGGGTACCCAATTAGCAATGCCCAGGCCTTCTCCTCCTGTGTCCTGAGTGCAGGGCCCACCCAGCTGTTGGAATTTAACCAAGGCATTCACCCAGTGGTACTTACAAGTAGATGCTGGACTCGTTGCCTCCCATGTCCGGAGACTGAAGTTTCTGCACAAGGATGACAATGATGCCAATGAAGAGCACAAAGTTAACCTGAGAAGCAAAGAAAAAGCAGTGAAAATGGTTCTGAGCAAAGACTTTGCACACCCCTGCCACTACACTGGCTGTTATTCCCTCAACAAGGCCCTCTTCCCATCAGTCAAGATCCCATCTAGACCTATAACGGCAGCATTATAAGTACACATAAGATGTCAGCATGAGAACACTCATTCACCTCCCCAGCCTCCCTCCATGTCACTGAAACCACAGAAGAGAGGGATAAAAAGAATTCCATGAGAGTACTGAGAAATAGCAAAAACTGTCATGAGTGAGCCAGAAAAGCGAGCAATTTCTGGAAAAGACAGAACAAACAGCGTCAGGGTGATGGAAAAACGACAGTACAAAACAGAGAAGAGGCTATTGCAGAGGTGAGAGCTGTCCTCTGGAGAAACTCCAAGTTCAGAGTCACTGAATACGGAGAACCAGAAAGGAGAACAATAAGGATTATTGATTAAAGGACTGCCTTTGAATAGCAATAGCATTTACCTTCGGACAAAGGTCAGGGACAAAAGCTCTCTAAACAAAGTAGGAAGCTGTGTGGATGGTGAGAGAGCAGGAGGGAGGGGAGTAAATAAATAAAGACAAGGCGGGGAGTAAATAAATAGAGACGATGGCTTCCCTGGTGGCTCAGATGGTAAAGAATCTGCCTGTAAAGAATGTGGGAGACCTGGGTTCAATCTCTGGGTTGCGAAGATCCCCTGGAGAAAGGAATGGCAACTCACTCCAGTATCCTTGCCTGGAAAATCCCCATGGACAGAAGAGCCTGGCGGGCTACAGTCCAAGGGATTGCGGAGAGTCGGACATGGCTAGTGACTAACACGAACATAACAATGGGGACTATACAGTAACGCCTGGCTGAAGTGAAGCAGGGCTCAAGGAAAAAAGGTAGAGACTAACACTAACTTATTAAAAGACAAGAAATATTGAAAATATTGAAAATAAAATAATTAAGCATTCAAATCAAAATTTAGGGAAAGAGTACCACAAGTTTAATTTCTATTTCCTTTAAAGAAGGAAGTTAAAAATAAAAATTCATTAAAGAAATAGGGAAAAAAGTAGATAATCAATAAATATAAAATTTTTGGTTTTATTTTGCTTTCACAGATCAAGCAGAATGATAAAGGGCCTTCCTGGAGGGCAGCTTCTGTCAGTTTTGCCTTCTACTACATGCTCAGCATCTAATCAGTACTTGGAATTTAGCACAGTCAATACTGCTAACTGCATACATTAGTCCCTCCAAAGGGAGAAAAATGCAATTAAACAAATTGAAGGATGAGAAAGAGGACAAGACAACAGATGTATAGAGTATTTTGAATCATCACAAGGAAAAAGGTCAGATAACATGGTAAAATATAAATTAATCAAGTCAAATCAAGATGTAGAAATCAGAATAGCACAATGACCTCAGGAAAAATTTAAAAAGTAATCAAAGATGCGTGTATTAAAAGGCACCAGCCCAGATCATTTGACCAGCCAGTTTCATAAGACCTTTAGGGAAGATAGAATTTACATGCTACATCATTATTTAAAAGGAAATAAAAAGAAAACCTACCAAATTACCTATGAGGTGAACAAAACCCTGCTACAAAACCCAGACAAGGACAGAAACCATATTCACACACATGATCAGACACATGTCTAAAACCAGAGAACTTACAAAGAATAATGCAAAAGCTATAAACTGAATATTAACAAACAAAAAATTTAGTAGTGCATTAAAAGGACAAACAGATCAGGGCCATAAAGGTTTTATGCCAAGAGTGAAAAAAAAAATCCAGTAACATTTGTTGTTGCTGTTTATTCACTAAGTCACGTCTGACTCTTTGTCATCCAATGGAGCCTGCCAGGCTCCTCTGTCCATGGAATTTCCCAGACAAGAATACTGGAGTGGGTTGCCATTTCCTTCTCCAGGGGATCTTCCCACCTCAGGGATCGAACCCACATCTCCTGCACTGGAGGCAGATTCCTTACCACTTAGCCACCAGGGAAGCCCAATATTTGTTACATTAACAGATTAAAACAATGAGCTATCTTTATCCCCATAAGATTGGTGAACAGTTCAGTAATCGAAACACCAATGAAAACATGAGAAATGAGCACTTTTATACTCCACATGTGGAGGGCAATTTGATGTCCATGAAAATATTAAATGTATATATCCTTTGTCCCAAAGGATATATATATCCTTTGTCTCTACTCTTGGAGATATATTCTAAAGACACATTCATACATACTCAATGGTATGCACAAATATATCCATTGTTCATCATGAAAATAAACTGGAATATAATCAGTGTTCATCACTAAAGGAATGAGCAATTAATGTCTCCAAAACACATTTGATAAAAGTTGACATCTATTCCTTATTTTAAAAAATACACACTGAAACAAGTCAGAAATAGGAACTTTCCTAATTCAGTGAAGAGCCGCCGCCCAAAAGTGTAGCAAACATCACCCTCAACACAACCAAGGAATAAACAGTATGCATATTGGAAATGAAGGAGAAAAAATATTTTCATTTATAGGTTATATAATTTTCCATGAAGATCAACTGAAAAGGGATAAGAACCAATAAAAGAGCTTCAAAGGTAACCAAGAAAGGAAAAAATACACAAAAACTAATAGGTTCCCTAAACACCAGCACGAATACACCCACTAGAAAATACAACAAAAGAATAATTCCTACATACAAGCACAAACTGAAAGACACCATAAAGGTAAACTTACCAAGACAACTTAAAAAACACTATACAAAATGACTCTGTAAGAAAGACTAAATAAATAGAGAATCATGCCATATTCTTGGAAAGGAAGATTCAGTATTTTAAGAAAACCACTTCTCCTCCAAATTTGCTTATAAATTCAGTGGCGTTCCTATAAAAAATCTCAACCAGTCTTTTTCCTTCAACTTGACAAATGTGCAAGTCCATGTGAAAAAGTAAATGTGCAAGAAAATTTTGGAGGGAAAAAATAAGGAAAGGAATATTAGCCACAGCAGATATCAAAACATGCTACCAGATTATGGTAACCAGCACTATGGGGTACTTGCCACAAGAACAGCTGCATAGATTAGTAACATGGAGTAGGTACCCTGGAGCTAAACACAAGTAGAGTACATTGAGTGTTTATAATAAAGTTGCAGTTCTATATAATGGAGAAAGGATGATCTATTTAATAACAATATTTAGAGGGTGGGATGTCTATCCATTGGGAAAAAAAACAACTTGATAAGATTAGATATCATTTCAAATCAGAGAAATAAAATTTCAGACGGATTAAAGATATACATGTAAAAAAGTGGAAATGTTAGTGACTCAGTTGTGTCTGACTCTTTGTGACCCCATGAACTATAGTCCACCAGGCTCCTCTGTCCATGGAATTCTCCAGGCAAGAATACTGGAGTGGGTTGCTGTGTCCTCCTCCAGGGGATCTTACCAACCTAGGAATCAAACCCAGGTCTCCAGCATTGGCAGGCAGATTCTTTACCATCTGAGCCACCAGGGAAGCCCATCATACATATAATAATCCAATTTATAAAATTGTTATAAAACAATTAAGAATACTTTTATATTCTCAGGTTGGGAAAGACTTCCAGAAACAAGAAATAAGCCTCAGAATTCATGATGAAAAGAACTGATGCTCTGACTGTATAAAACCATGCAATGCTGGAATTATATCTACAATATGTGTAACAAATGAAGCAGTAAGAAGTATCAAACACAATACATGTAACAAATGAAGCAGTAAGTAAGTATCAAACAATAAGAAAGATAACAACTGGGCTAGAAAAAATGAGCAAAGAAATAAACAGATAGTAACCAGAAAAAAAGCAAATTGTCAATAAATGTATTAAAAAATTGCTTTGCTGCACAAGCAATGTGGAGAAATTAAAACAATGAGCTACATTATCTCCCACAAAGCTGTGCAAAAATTTAAATGATTGAAACTACAAGTGCAGACAATGATATGGTATACCCTTTTTGACCTGGCAATTCTACTTCTAGGGATTAATTCTAAAGAAATATTCACACATTCTCAAAACTATGCACAGAACTCTTCATGGCAGCATCTTTCATAATGAGGTAAAATGGAATAAAGACAAATGTCCAACACTAGTGGAATAGCTAAAAAACTTGTACATCCATATTGCAGAATATAACGCAGCTGTGATAAAGAAGGTTGGTTTGCGTGGTGACCACTTTATTTCTCCTCCCCCGGACCTTTCAGCCCAGACCTCTGTCTCTCTCCTGCTTCTTGTCCCAAGCATACTCACCATTATGGAGCCAACTACAGGGCCTTTGATCACCCACCACAGAGCCGTGTTGTCATTCATATCCCAGCAGCTGTGAGACAGGCAGAAAGAAGAGAGATGATGCTTGGGAGCGGGGAGGCCTGCAAGACAACGGGGTGGCACGTCCCCCCCTGTGGCTCTGAAGGGGGGCTGGCTGAAAGGAGCGCTGAGGGACTGTACCCCCAAGCCCAATCCTGCTCCCAGTGCTTTGGTCCTCTCTTCTGCTCCACTATCAAGGCAGCGATTAGAGCCCAGGAGTCAGGGCACCGATGGGCTCCTGGGCAAGGGCCACATTCCCCCTTGAGACCTCAGGTTCTTGGGGATGCTATCTCAGCCTCAATGTTCCTCCCCTCCTCCCTGAAAGGAGAGCAGTCACTCAGAGCAGAGCCCAGAGGAAGAACAGGGCCCTGAAACCTGGTGCACTCCCTCGCTGGGCCCCAGTTGAGATGTGGCAGGGTGGGTCCAGCCACAGTGGGTTCAGGGCATAGTCAGTGCCCCGGGCTGGTGGTGTAGCCAGGCCCGGCGTCGGATGGTTTGTCTGAGACAGTCAACATGAAGTCCAGGGCGTTAATGACAGGCTGCCTGGGGCCCCGGCTCTGGCTTTGAGCATGTATTCACCCTGTGTCGTCGAAGTAGAGCCTCAGCATAGCCCACACGGACACACACACCGTCGGCGTCCCTGCACAGAAAGGAAAGGAGCCCCATGATAACAGGAAAACTAATAGGCCCAGTATCCCCCTCAGACCTGGGGCTTCTGGGGGCCAATGGACCCTCAGACATGGGGTTCTGGTCCATGGGGCATATCTCCCTCTCAGACCTGGTGTCAGGGGACCCTAACTGTCCCTCATACCCAGGCCTTCTGGGGGTCCATGTCTCCCTCAGACCCTGGGCTACCTTGCCTCCCTGAGCATATCCCCTCCCTCAGCCGGTACGCTCTCTACACGGAGAAGAGCAAGAAAGTATCCAAGATCCAGCAGTATGCCATAGCTGTGAGGCAGGGCAGCTTCTCCCTCTGCTTCCCTCCTCTGACCGATACCCCCGGATGGCGGGACGAAGGACATCCTGGTCATGGGGCCTGAACCTGTCCAGGCCACAATCAGAGACCTACCCCAGCCAATGATGATGTACCAGTAGAAATATCTCCTCTCAGGGAAGAAGGTCTCCACCAGTAGGGTGAAGAGATACAGGCCCTCGATGAACAGCCAGAAGTAGTTGGATACGACGCAGTAGTGGAAAAAAACCATCACGGCCTTGCATTCCACCTGCAGGGCGAGTGGGGAAGAGGAGGGGGGCGCAAGTCCCCATCGAACCTTGAAAATCCAGCCCAGCAGGACCAGGGGGAATCCTGAGGGCCCTTAGCTTAGGCATCTCCGGCTTAAACATCCCACGGGTCTGAAAGACTCAACATCCTTGGATTCAGAATATAAAACTTCAGCATCCTGAGTCTGAATCAAAGCTACCCATGGAGGCAGCTCTGCATATGTAAGAAAAGGATGGGGATGGGGTGGGGTCAAGGGGTGCACACAGAACCCTCTCTTCTCGCCAGGCTCACTCTGCCCCAGGGCACTGCAGGGAGGACTAATCGTGGCAGGGCTCAGCGCACTCACAGTGGAGAGAAAACAGTGATTGCTGTCCTGCTCAGCGTAGAGGATCCAGTCTTTGATGAAGACAGAGATGGCCCTCAGCATAAACGACACGAAGAGGTTCATGTGGATGAAGTTGCGGGTGCAGTGCAGCTTCCTACACCCACAGGCGGGGAAGATAGACGCCTTGAGGTCAGGAACCCCACAGCCTTCCACCCTCCATGCTGGGGTCCGCTTTGGGCTGACTCCACAGCTTTGTCTCAAGGGGGCTGTCCACCTAGACCACCCCTTCTTCCCAGCTCTCTAAACCCTCACTCACTCCCAGACTCCCCACCACCTGCTTCCTCCAGTGAGGGAGGGAGGTCATACTGCTCCCTCCTGTGACCTCTCTCCACCTAGACCAGGAAGATAAAGCGAGGGGCATAGGTCTACTGCCCACGGTCTGCCTTGCTGTGTGTGGCCCTGGACAAGTCAGTTGTCCTCTCTGGGGTCAAGTTTCCTATCTCTTATCGTAGGGGTGGGGAAAACACCTTCCAAGAGACCTCCAGGGCTGACATCCACGGCAGGAGTCGGGGGTGGGAGGCGCAGAGCAAGGGCTCTGTGCTGGAGTGGGCAGCAATCACTTGAAGGCTGTCGGGAATCTCACCGGAAACGACACAGGATAACCATGGCAGTCGTGAGGGTGACGAGGGACGTGCTGTAGCCAACTGTGTACAGGGCCTTCACCGACAGGTAGTAGTAATCCTGGAGCAGAGCACAAGACATGCAGGGCTCCATGTGGGGCCTGCCCCCGGCCCCCTTGGGATGGCACCAAGTCTCCCCGGCCAGGCCTGCCCACCTCTGAGCATGCTACCCAGCTCTTCCTTCCCCTCTTCTCTAGTTGATCACCTCTCCTTCCCTCCCCCATCAGCTCCTCCACCACCCCAGGCTCCCCAAGCCCATTCCCACTGAGCCAACTCCTCCTTCTGTCCATCTCCACTGCCCAGGAGCTACATGCTGGTAGAGTGCAGGAGCACTGACCAGCCAGAACGGAGCCAGCCTTTAGCCTGGAGAAGGATCCAGGGGGCCCCCTGCTGAGCCCCACGTTAACCCTACAACGGCTGGACCATAGAAAGGCGGGTGTCCTGGAAAAGCCACCAGGGAGATGGTGGACACGCGGTGGGGGCCGGAGGAGCTCAGGCAGCAAGACAGTTGTTTCTCAGCCTAGAATGAGTGAGTGAAAGTCCTGCCCTGCATGCATCTGGCTACATAGCTGGCACGCATGAATGCTGCCTGGGGACTCGAGTTCCTGCAGTTTCATCAGGAGTCAGGGCCCCTGGGGGGCACGTGCTTCCACCTGCCTCCTCGGGCCCATCCCTCCACCTTTAGGAGGGCAACAGATACTCACCTGGTCCCCGGTCTCAGACTCGTACTCCTCAAACCCACAGGCATCGAAATAATGAGGGAATGGCTCTGACCATCCATCCTCCGTGCAATTCCGGCTCACCACCCTCATGTCTGCAGCAGAACAAAAACGTGGTGAGGCACAGAAATGATGTAAGAGGGGTCTAAAATTCTTAATGGCCTATTACTCTTTAAGTAGAAATTCCTGGAAATCCACATGTCCATCTGAGAAGCATGGCAGCTGCAGGTTCATGAGATCTTCCAGTGTCTGAGTGAAAATAATAATTGCTTAGCCTTTATACTAAGAATGTGGGATGCAGGGGAGTCCAATGAAAGCTGATCTCTAAACAAGGAGTGAGAGGACTGAGCCAGGATGAATCCAGCCTCCTTCCCTCTAGGAAAAGGCCTGACCCTCTCCTGGAGGCCCTGGAATAGCACAAGAATGACCTGGGATCACAGATGCAGATTCCAGGCCCAGAGTTCCTGGCCCAGGAATCACCTGGGGCAGTGGTGTGGCAGGAGCTCTCATCATATCTGGAGAAGCTCCAGGTGAGGCTTTCACCAGGAGTTCTGGGCCTTCCAGCAGCTTCGACAGTATCCAGGGGGCACATGGCTTGCTTAATTAACAAGGACCAGACCTCCATTAACCTAGCATCAGATCTTATTAAGATACATATTCAGGTTAAAAAAAAAAAAAGACTTCTGCCTTTTCAAGTTTAGAGGTCTGTTTCCTATCACTAATGTACTTTCATTTTCTTTAGCTTGACTTTAAAGGCCATTTTGTAGGACACCAGAGGAGGCAGGAGTCATTTGTTGGCTGCAGAGTGGAGTCCAGTCTGGTTTTCACCCTGCCTGGGGCCTTTTAGCCTTTAATGATTACTCATTTTATCCTCTCTGCTCCTGACTGTCTAAGGGTGAACCACGATGTCTAGGGGAGGGGAAAAGGCAGCAGTCCCCTCTGCCTCCAGCCCAGCCCCTGAGTGTGGCCCCAGGCTGACCCCTCGTCCCCGACTGGCTTCCTGGGAGTTTACCTGGTGTATTAGGACACCTGGGGGTGGCTCTTCCTTTCACAGGATTCAGGGACCAGGAAATCATAAACAAGAGACATCTGCATAAGAGGGGCTCCAGCATCCATGCTGCTGGAAGAACCCCTGCTCAGAGGCCAAGGCCATCTGTGGGGAACTTGGACAGGGACAAGGGCAGCAGCCAACACAGGCGACTCCAACACTTTTCCAACTTCATGTCCTGCTGATTGAGTTGGAAGATCCAAGGCCAGTTCTTTTCAACCAAGAGTCAGAAATGCACTTCCTGGGGCTTTGGGAAGCAGTAGAGGGTGAGTGATCCTGCCATAAAGAGAGCTCTGCCCAAAGCGGGGAGACTAGTCTCTTACTGCAGCTCAGATTCTGAGTCGTATGTGACCCAGCACAAAGAGGACGTCTAGCAGGCCCAGGGAGACGAGGTCACTTCTATCCCACAGTTTAATGCCAAATGGTTTTTGCTTCCAGCAAATCTGTTTCAGGCTGCTGCTGGCAACCTCCTTCCAAGTCCCTCTGAACGTTTCTTTCAGAAAGTCTGCACGTCCAAGGGGACCATGGCAGTGGCCAAGCCCTTCCCTTCCCTGGGTCTCCTCTCTGCTCTGCCCACATCAGGGTGGTGGGAAGAGGAAAGGGAAGCTGCACTGAAAAACATTTTTTTAAAAAAAGTATCCTGGAGATACAAGCCATTTCCTTTCTTTTATTTTCCTTCTTACCCTTTTCAAAATATAGTGTGGGCTCAGAAAAGTATAAACCTTTTTGTTTAGAACTATTCCATGAATCTGCTAGTCTATTGTTCTGATAGAAATCTCCGGAAGATGGAGTACTCTCCAGACTGCCAACACCCTCCAGTGGCTGCGCCTACTTCACTAGGCTGTTTTGCTCCAGCAACTTCATAGAAGCACAGAATCTTAGGGCAGAGGTTCTCAAAGTGGGTGCCCTCCCTAGACGGGCCCATTAGCATCACCAGGGAGACTGGCCAAAATGCACACTTTCAGGCCCCACTCAGACTGCTCTATCAGAGACTCCGGGGGCGAGGTCCAGGAATCTGTTTTAACAAGCCCAATAGGTGACTGTGCTGGAGAAGGGAATGGCAACCCACTCCAATATTCCTGCCTGGAGAATCCCATGGACAGAAGAGCCTAGTGGGCTACAGTCCACAGGGCCACAAAGAGTCAGACATGACTGAAGTGACTTAGCACACAGGTGACTGTGATCACAAAGTATGAGAACCACTGTTCTACTTGTGGGAGCTCCAAGCTATCACGGGCCATTTAAATTCCATCAAAGGAGTTCTTTTACTGAGATCTGTCCTTCCCTGAAATTATATGCACGGTGTTCTGTCTGAGCACTTGCATGCAAATTCCCATGGAGAAAATCCACAACTTCATCAGAGAAGGAAAGTGAGCTAACGAAGATCACAGAGCAACAGAGAAGCATAGCCCATCCTGGAAGGCGGTCCCCAAGCTCACCTCCCTGTGACCTTACAGGTTAGATGACCTCCCTCCAGCCAGCCCATGGTCAAAATCAGTTCATCTCTTACCTGAGAGATCCAAGGATTTACTGTCTGCAAAACCGAACTCTCCTGCAAAACAGACGTGGGCATGAGTCAGGACACCTGACCATCAGCTTGCCAGGGCTATCCACTCCTTACTCTGCTTCCTGGAAGGTCAAGCCTGCCCCTGGTCTAGAGATGGGGGGCTGGGGGAGCTGGGGTCTCGGCCAAGAGGAAGCATCGCACATAGCAGCCACATACACACTGCACCTTCCAGGGCCATCCCATTTGCTTTGTGTTTCTATGATGCTAATGGTGGCTCATGACTCAGTTCTCCCCACTGGACGACAGGGTATGGAAATGAGACATTGTCGGGAGGAGGGGAGGACCTCTGGAGTGAGAGAGGACTGGAAGAGGGTAACTGACCTTTTCTCTTTTGTCTGTCCTTGTTGTTTGTCTAACTTGTATAAAACAGTGCATATATGTTTGTGGACAACTCCTAAGTTACCTCTATCTACCTCCACCTCCGCTATCCTCTTTGATAATCATAAGTTTGTTTTCTGTATCTGAGTCTATTTCTGTTTTGTAAAAAAAAAAAAAAAAAGCTCATTAACCAGCTCTTTTTAGGAAAAAGGACAAAAAATAGCAATATGGGTCCCAAGCTTGGGTTTTTCGTTTGGTGTTCAACCCTCCATCTCAGCCCACAAACTGTTCCCATCAAAGGAACCCCAAAACTCCAAAGATTTCCTCCTCAGACATATTTTTCTCTTTCTCTCCCAATTCTTTATTTCCACCTCCACCTTTTTTTAGGCTGAATCCTCTGCTAGCAATGAACTCCCATTTCCCTCTCCTTTTCAAAATTCTGTTTTCAAGGTCCAACTGACATGTCACCTCCTCCAGGAAGACTTCCCTGACACCATCATTAGTTTGCCTGCATGTCACCTGGTTAGGTCGCTTCTGCTCCGGAGCCTGCCAAGCATTCCAACTCCATGGCCCTGGGGATGTCAGTATTGGCATGGGCTCACACACACAGTCAGGCCTTTATGTGTACAGAAGCTCATGCCAAAGCACACAGATGCCCTTGCTTGCTGAGCCCTCTATAGGTGAGTCCCATCTTCTCAAACAAGCCCATGAGCACCCTGAGACCAAGGAAGGGCTGCATCTTTCCATCTCCCTGTGTCTCCCCAGCCTCCAGATGGCCAAAGGAGTTGGGCAGGGAAAGGAGGGATGAGCCCAGCCCCTAATGAACCTCTCATTCCACCCCCACCCACTCCTAATAGTCAGAGCTGGGCTCCTGCTGGATGGGAAGACGGACAGATGGACAGATGATCAGCAGTCTGTCCTCTCCAAGGTTCCTCTTACCGATGGTTTCCGTCTCCCAGACTGAAACAGAGCGAGAGAGAAAACACAGAGGTGAGCAAGGTTGGCTGAAGTCAGTCTGCTGTCTGAGCCCTGCTGATGGTGCCCTCCTCCTTCCCACTCCCAGACTCTGAAGAGTGGTCGTGCTGGGGCCCCAGAGGCCTGAGAACTACAAGCTGGGATTCTACTGTTCTACTAGAGACTTCGACCATTCCTGCACAAACAGGGCACAGTTACTGAGAAAGAGAGGCATTCCAAAGGAGGAGCAAGATCGCCTTCCTGCATCTCCAACAGTTGCAAAGCAGCAACTATTACAATGAGCATGAGATTCAGCCCTGGGAACCAGGAAATAAAAGGAAAACTGCAGTTCTCAGCTTTCTAAGTATTTAAGTCAAGTCTAACTTTGTGAATGGAGATGCTAAAAGGCCCTGCCTTAATGAACCATTAAGAGGCAGGTGTAAATAACACATTCATTGTGCAACTGCCAGAGGGAGGCATAGAATCTGAAAGAAAGCATATCTTAAGAAAATTTTATTTTACTGCTGATTCATTTTACCTTTTCTGTGTGCGGTGGAAAAGTAGTCCTGCCACGGTACCTGACCCAGAGTAGATGTTCTGTCAACTTTAAATAAATGACTGAATGAAACGAGTATGTGAATGGAGGAAGTGATTAAGTTGGTCTCTATAGGAATGAATTAGAAATCGGGGCTGAATCACCGGGCTGCCACCCCGCTTGACGTCCCACCATTCACACTGTGCCTCTCCTTTCAGCACTTCCCGTTCTACTCTTGGTTGCATCCAGTCCTCACGCCATTGTCAGGATGGGAGAGTTTAACTGGACTGGCCTGGATTGAGATTCTGGAGGTGGGTGGTATGGCTAACGGGCCCAAACAGAAAGTCGGGGAGGCGAGATGGGGGCAGCATAGCTAGACCCTGCCTTCTCTAGTCCTGGGCGGGGAGCCAGAGATGGGACCGGGCATCCACAACACACTGCCTCTATCTCCCTGCACCACCTCCTCCAAGCAGACTCCCCTGCAGGCAGAAACAAGGTTGCTGGGCTTTCAGGTGTTAAAACATTTGCCTCTGCCTCTGACACATGGGCTAGAGGACAGTGGAGACACTGCCTCTATCTCCCTGCACCACCTCCTCCAAGCAGACTCCCCTGCAGGCAGAAACAAGGTTGCTGGGCTTTCAGGTGTGAAAACATTTGCCTCTGCCTCTGACACATGGGCTAGAGGACAGTGGAGTGAAATGCAGCTTGGAGACTCTCTACTTCTAGAGGGACGCTCACTGAGACCTTAGGCAGGTGAGGGAGGAAGCTGAGGACCAGATCTCAAGGGACACATGCATGGCCACACAAGTGTCTCAGACCCTCTTGTCCCTGCAGGGGTCCCTACCCTCCTTCCTCAAACCAAGGCCCCAACCCAGGACTCAGTGGTCCACGTGTGGTTCTCAGTACATCTCCTGCCTGGAGCCCAGTCCCTCCATCTCCCTCTGCCCAGCCTAACTCAGCGACCCCCAGCTTGCCACCCTGCTTCCTGGGACACCCACAGAGTCGGGGTGGAGGCCCAGTCTGGCTCCAGGCCCCTCCCAGTGTCAATGTTCACTAAAAGCAGACACCAACCTTCTTTGGGGGGCAAATGAGTCTCTGCCAAGGCCGAAATAGGCCTGGAGAACCCATCAGACTCACATCCAAAGGAGAGATCCCTCAGAACCCTTTCCCCTCAGGTCCCTCCCCATGGAGAGCAGTCATCTGGGCCTCCCTGTATGAGTGATCATGGTGATAACATCAGCTCACACTTATAACTGACCATCAAGCTGCACCCAGTCCTGCTAAGGGACTTCCACTTAAATTCTCCCAGTCACCATTCCACATTCCCATCTGATAGACTAGGAAATGGGGGGACAGAGGGGTGACTGCCCTGCTGAAGGTCCTCAGCTGGGTTATGTGATGGAGCCCACATCCGAGCACCTAGCCTTGCCCCAGCACAATGACGTGCCTCTACGGGGCCTTGCTGTGTGTGAGGGGTGCTTCTGTGTCCCTTTGTGCACGGGGTCCCTGATTTCCTCTCACCAGCTCAGGGCTCCGAAATGGGGACCACCTCCCCGCAGGGTGCCCCCGTCTTTGGTGCTTGTCCCCCAGAACGCCTGGAGTCTGACTTGGGGGAACAGGCTGGACCGAGTGCAGCCTGAAGAGGCCCGGGGGAAACCCACCTTGGTCTGGGTTGAAGATTCGGAAGAGTTCAGGGCAACTGACGAGGACCATCTCACCCACGTGGGCGGGCTTCCAACACGTGATGTTGTCCCACATCCCAGGGCAACCTGTGGGGATGAAAAACATGGTGAGAGCGCATCCAGTAGTTCCCCCCCCCCACACACACACACAGAGCACACACACACACAGAGCATGCACACACACACACACACACAGCACAAACACAGAGCACACACACACAGAGCATGCACACACACACAGCACACACACTCACAGAGCACACACAGAGCATGGATGCACAGAGCATGCACACACAGAACACACACACACACAGAGCACACACTCACAGAGCACACACAACAGCACTCACAGAGCACACGCACACAGCACACACACACACAGACAGCATATACACACACACAGAGCACACACACAGAGCACGCACACACAGCACACACACACACAGCACACACACAGACAGCATACACACACACAGAGCACACACACAGAGCACGCACACACAGCACGCACACACAGCACACACACACAGNACACACACACAGAGCACACACACAGAGCACGCACACACAGCACACACACACACAGCACACACACAGACAGCATACACACACACAGAGCACACACACAGAGCACGCACACACAGCACGCACACACAGCACACACACACAGCACACACACACACAGAGAGCATACACACACACAGAGCACACACACAGCACACACAGAGCACACACACTCACATAGAGCACACACACACAGAGCACACACACTCACAGACTGCATACACTCACATAGAGCACACACACTCACAGAGCACACACACACAGAGCATACACACACATAGAGCACATACACATAGAGCACACACACAGAGCACACACACTCACATAGAGCACACACACTTACACAGAGCATACACACAGAGCATACATAGAGAGTGCGCATACACACAGAACACACACACACAGCACACACACAGATAGTACTCACAAACACAAAGCACAGACACACACAGAGCACACACACATAGAGCACAGACACATACAGAGCACAAATGGAGCACACACACGCAGCACACACACACACACAGCACCCTGCACGAGCTCTTCCACACCCCCAGGTTCCACATCACTGTGAGGTCCAGCTTCAGATCAACCTCCTGGGTGGAGGGAGAGGCAGGAACTGGCTGGCCTGAGGATGTTCCATTGCCACCACTATCCCGTGCCCCAGCCACCCACTGCATTTCAGGACAGGCCTGGAGCAGAGAGACTGAGTGAAAATGAAGGAGGAACCTGAAGGAGGAGCACAAACTGGTCAGATGGGGTTGGGGAGGAGAGCTGAGTCAGCCAGATAGAGACCTACACAGCCAAGCTCCCGGACTATGAAAGGACCAGGAGCACAAAGGGATAGGATGCAGGGACCCCCTCAGAGGCCACCATGGTGGGGACGCATGCCCAGATCAGGTGAGCACCAAGGGATGGAGAGGAGTAAGGACAAACTCAGAGCTGTTTAGGAATCGTTAAGACAGTGACTCACGGCATGTGAGCTGCCCAGGAGGAGGAAGAGGTCAAGTGTGAAGGCTAGATTTTCAGATTTGGGGCACTCAGTAGATCCTCCTACCCCTGTGCCCACTCTCCTTCCAGCCCCTACCAACCTCCTGGTGCTGTTTCTGCACTCCTTGTCACTCCGTCCTCACCTCCCCTTCATGCTTCACCCGTGGTCTGACTGCATCCCTCCTCTCCACTGGGAGGCCTCTTGACCTTACTGACCTCATCGCCCTTACTGACTGGGCCCCACCTGACTGAATGCAGGGGCTCACATCTGTCCTGCCCCCGGTCCTTCGCTCCACTCATCTTAGACAAGATCAACAGACTCAAAGCTTTTCTTCCAAGGAGCAAGTAAAATGAAGAGACACTTGCTTCTTGGAAGAAAAGTTATGACAAACCTAGACAGCATATTAAAAAGCAGAGACATTACAGACAAAGGTCTATATAGTCAAAGCTATGTTTTTTCCAGTAGTCATATATGGATATGCTAAGTCGCTTCAGTCGTGTCCAACTCTGTGCAACCCCATAGACGGCAGCCCACCAGGCTCTGCCATCCCTGGGATTCTCCAAGCAAGAGTACTGGAGTGGGTTGCCATTTCCTTCTCCAATGCATGAAAGTAAAAAGTGAAAGTGAAGTCACTCAGTCATGTCCAACTCTTCGCGACCCCATGG